AGTCATGATTTCGAAACATTAAGTACAACCCTGAGAACAGAATGCCAAGCCACGATCTGGCCACGTGAATAAGTTGAAGTTACATCCTTCTAACAGGAAAAGTAACTTTCGTTATCATGGAATTATAACAAAACCTGCCAATTCAATATAAATGGAAAAAAAATATTATATGGAATTGAACGAAAATGAAAATTTGCTTGATAATTCAACTACGCTTGTTGGAGAACAATAAAAACACTACACTCAACAAGCCACCAATAAAACTCAACTGCCTAACCTATAACCAAAGTCTCCTTTTAATTTGTTTTTAAAAAAAAGAGCTTGACAAACTTGCCCCGCATGCCGAAGTTGCCCCGGTCTCCCCTAATTTCATTCAGTATAAAATCCTTTGAATTGTGTAATGATTTATTGAAATGGCTTAAATGAAACGAATTTATACATCATATTTAAAAATGAAATACAATTCAAAAATATTTCGTTACGGTATGGAATTAATTACATATAAAGAATGAAAATAAAAGACACTTTAAGAGTGTTTTAAAATTTATTACTGTTAATGTATAAATGTGAGTGTCTAAATTGCTTTATTACGTTGTGGTTCCTCAGAAAAGTTTCTGAGGAAACACAACAATGACTCTATCTCTATCGCTGTCTATTAAGAAATATTTTCGATCGCTCTGCTGATTTTTTTTAATTAAAAAATAGCAGAGAGAGTTCGAAGTTGTGGAATACTTTTTTATCTATATTTTTTTGAGTGGTTATATCGTCTGAAGATATTTAAAAAATTTTATTGGGCTGCAAATTGAAAAAAATTGTAGACCTATAAATTCCCACTATCGTCTGTTTGTTTGTCTGTCCTTTCTTAATCTCGAGAACGGAATTAGATAGATGAAAACCGAGACTAGACATGGAAAGCTTAAGGCAGGAGGTCCTGATTAACTACTGTATATACGGAACTTCCGGTACAAACCAGAAGTCACGTTATTTCAATTAAAAAAATTTTTTTCTGAAAGGAGTTAGATAGATGACCAGCACGACTATTGTTAACAGAAAAAGAAAGACGTACAAGGGGAAGACACTACTAATTTGAGGTGGAGAGCATATTTTTTAAATTAAATAAATTAAAAAATATGATTAAAAATTGCAGCCCGACATTGTGATGATGTCACAATAAATATTTGCTCGTTAATAAAATAGTTTCTTGTTGATATACTCGTATTTCTGCTGCTGATATATTTTATCTGTTTTCGTATTGTCGAGCTTGTTATATTTATTCAGTACTGTATTATTAAATAAAACTGTAATGAAACTGAAATGATAGACAGGTTCTACACACTCTTGGAAAAATACAATTTATCTTAATTTATGAGAACAATTTTAATTACGTTGAATCTTCTCTTACACTTTAAATATCGGTAAACTGTACGTGCGCTATCAAAATCGAATGTATAAAATACAATATATGCTTAGATATTGGAAAATGACATTTACCTTATTGTCATATCTAACAAAACCGTAGGATTTGTTAACATTTCGGAAATCGATTTTGAAATTTGAATAGAAAATATATTTTGAGTTTTGTATATGTATATATAATTCTGGACTACTACTACGTTTTTAAAGTATATCCAAAGCTTTATTTTATCATGTACAGTATATTTGCAGCATTGTTATTGATGCATAGAGGCAAATACAGACAGAGCTTAGGGGCAATAAGAAGAGATTTGTAATTTTATTGAATTTACTTTTTTCAATACATGTAAACTAAAAATACACAAAAGACCTTAATGGTCTATCATAGAATAATTTGGAATTTAAATTAGATTTATTATATTCTATTATTTTTCTCCTCAAGTCGACCGATTTGTTAACGTGAGAGACACGCATTAACACTGTTTGGTCGACCGCAATTTCGCCTATTCCTAATCCGCAATGAACCCGTTTAGCATGAATGACAGAGGAAGGACGACGCCTCGATTGAGTTTTATGTTATAAAATATTAGAAGTGAAATTTTGAAAATTGAAAAGTTGTTATATATAAAATATAAATATTAATTAAAATGCGAATTGTATTAATTATGACATTAGTTTAACAATAATTATTTAATGTTAAATTAAAAATAAAGACTGAGGAATAAATTATAAACAACAACTTTTTCGGTCATATTTACTTTATAATCCACATTGGATATTTACATGCTGTTTTATTAATACTTTGTGGATCGAATTGCTAAGGAGACGTTAGCCTAAAGGTAGGGATTTCGTGTCTGTCTAGATGTTTGAAATTTATTTTTAAATCATTTCAGTGATTTTTACTTCAGGTGAAAAATTCTAGATAGTTATTATTTTATTGCCATTCTAAATAGGAAAATATCATGAAAATGTCATAAAATTGTTTATTCAAATATATGTTAATACAATTAAAAAACATTGTGAAGTATTAAAATTTAATAAATTACAGTAGGTATAAATATACAATATAATATAATGTAAATATGATATTAATTATTAATATTTGTTTTAAAACAAATAAACAAAATCCTATAATAATAATAATAATAATATAAATAAAAAAGTAAGTAACATCAAGTAACTGTCGAATGAAATAGAAAAATATATTTGATTTATTCTTTACATTTATTATATTCGTTTTAACAAAATAAATTAATTAATAATGTTAAATGTATTTAGAATTTATCATTCTCAATAATGTGTTGACTGTTCTATAGTTAATCTTATATCTTGAACGTTATCACATTTGCCAGTTTCATGTTGTTTCGTGATGTGTAGCCATTTTCTTTTCGTAGATAGTTGCTTGAACTGTGCATCGAATTTCTTTTTGGTTTATTCAACTTGTATCCTGAGGCTGCACTACTAAATCCCTAGAGAAGTAAGCTTTCATTTTTAGAAAGATCTCAAAGATGTTACTTTGAACGTTATTTCTTATGTTTATTCGTCTTCATAATAAATCATTCTCTTTGTTGTGTTGAGTAGTTTCTTACGTTTTAATATTCAGATGATATTTTTGTAAGTTTTATTCAACAAATTTAGAATAAAAATAAAACTCATTTCTCAAAAAGATAGCTAAAAACATTTAGTATAACAGAACTTATATCATTAAACTGTATTTTTTATGTTTAAATTAAACATTGGTATAGTATATAAATGAGTAAAAATTGATATAAGACCTAAACGATCATAACTAGCTTGGATAATTTGTTAATCGCACCAAATATACACCTGGCACTAGATTGAAAAAATAGTATGTTTTTTACTTAGAAAGTTCCTGTAAAATATGAGAAGAGGATATGTCAAAATTAAATATATTTTCTATAAGTTTTTCAACTGAAAATATAAATGTATTAAAATGCAGTGAAACTAGAATGAAGCAAATTCAGATATTCAGGCAGTAATATGCTGGCTAGACAATAAAACTCAATTGTGACTCAGAGAAAGCTTCTGCGTGTTTGCTTAAGACACGCAAGATGCTTGCATGTTAGTGTTCTTTTGAACAAAACAAGTGTCAATAGTTCACTTACATTTTAGTTAAGTAAATCTTTCTCTATTTCATTTAGTTTCTAGATAAAATAAAAATTGCTCCTTTGATGATTAGATCTATTCAGGCTTTCGTTTTTTCCTTAACAAAAGTAATGAAAAAATACTGTTACAATTCGTATCGAGTTAAAATAAAATAATTTACGTTATCTTTTAAAATAGATGGCTAATTGTTTTAAGAAATATATGTAGCCTATATTAAATACGAGGTAATAAAAAATTACGAATAAAAAAAAATTAATTTTTTATTATTACCGTATTAGATATAAATTTACTTTCTAGTTTTCTTTTTCTTTAAATTAGTTTAATTATATATAAGGTATTTCATATTCAGTTAACATGCATTTGAATTTTCTCTGCGCAAAACCTATTACATGTACTGTACCCTGCATAAAAATCTTTGATTTAATTTTTCACGTACTCTTATTTGTGTTAAGACTACGCTTAATAACGTTCATTATAGTTAATGACATTATTATTCATTATTAATAAATTTAACAAGATGAAATGTCAGTCAGGATAATCGACTGCAGCATAATTTCGGAAATAATAAAAGTGTATGAAAAAATATATATTGTATGTAGTTTTTATTCAGTAAACTTTCGAAGATTTTCCATTGATTTCGAATATTTAAATATTTAAATTTTACGGTTACGACGTTAAACTATGCTAAAATGTAAATATATAAACGTATCTGTTAATTTATTTAATTTAAATATGTAATTTTACCCTATTTTCTTCCTAATATCAATTATTGTTTGCTGAAATACATTTAAAATTATTATTGTATTACATACTAATTTTCAATAAAATTATGATAATTCGGATATTTTGAAATAAATTGATTTTAAATACAGAAGATAATATAATTTTTCTTGATATAACAAGAATAAACCATTTGGGTCGATATCACATCGAATTTAATTTTTAAAATGTACGTTAATCATTATTATTTTTAATAATTATTTATTATTTTCAATTTGTAGCGATTGTAAAATAAATTATTTCTATTGACAGACAGTAATTACTGTTTTATGTTTGCATAATGTGCTTTACCAATCGACTGTTTTCAAAATATATTAAAAACTCTATCCCGTAAACGGAAAAAAAATATGTAAAAATGCATCTAAATGAATATAAAAGCAGTTTCATATGATATTTTTTAACCAGAATTTTTCTTTTATTTTATTTTTTTGCACTGGGTTTACATTATTGCCAAAACTTCATACCGATAACGTGGATGAGGTCCACTTGCACCATATTGATTGCCTTGTCGTACCTGTCGCCAGCACGTGTTCTCACAATCGATCTTCCCTACCTGGGGATTGACCGTCAGTCTATACGGTTTATCTATAAAATCATTCGGCCATTTTTTTTACACGTGTAACAATACTTACTTATCTAAATATTTCTTCCTCGGCTAAATATTATGTTTGTCGTTTTAGAAATTCCTGGATGAACAAGATCAGAAAACACCGTGGCTGAGAAAACTCCTGTCTACTGCAAATCATCTTCGACAAAAAGAAGATAAAAAGATCGACGCAGAAGAGGACAGGAGAAGTGAGTAAAAAATTGAAATAATTATAACTTGTGTAAATCTCATTTGTTGAATGAATTATTCAAATAAATATTATTTTAATAATAAATATCATATGTAATTATTAACTTAAATTTATTCTTCTACATATATAATTGGATTTCATTTAATTAGTTACTGTATTGAGGTTTTCATTTATTATAATGAAGGTAAAAATTAATACACCTCTTTCTAGTGTAATAAAATTAATTTGCAATTTATTTTGAAGGTTTTCTTTTTAAAAGTTTATAGAAAAGATAAAATATATTAAAAATTATAACTTCTAATCTTATTTTTACCAATTAGATCTATTGCATCTTAGATCTAATTAACACACACTGCACAAATATAAACCCTGTAAAAATAAACTCTAGAGAAAAAAAAAATCTAAATTTAATAAATAATTTTGTAATTAATTAAAAAATGAATGAAATCTCCAGATTGAAATTTTTTATAATAAGAGAAAAAAATTCAATGCTGTCGAGGTAGCGCTAAAACCAGGTGCTGCATCCTTCTCCATCCTAATTCGATTGCGTTATATTGCTAAACAGTTCATAGAAATTTGTAACGTATTTTTTAAATTTTTATATATTGTAATTAATATATTATTAATAATGTTATGTCAGTATTGAGTTCAATCGATATTCTATTCTCTCTCATACGTAAACATAATAATAATAATACTTAATTTTAAATGTTGATAAATAAACGATTGGTAAATTCAAGTGATTCATATTCTAAAGAATTTTATTATTTTTTAAAAAGCAATTACACATTACTTTTAAAAAAAAATTTTCGATCAATTATTGTCGTCATAAAGACACGTTTTGTTACATATTTTTTAGTTTATTAATGGCATTAACCAATTAATCGAATTTTTAAGTTAATAGAACCATAAATATGTAATAGCGGGGTTTTAACTAATGTTTATCAGTGCTTTTTATCATTGTTTAATTTTTTT